ATTGGGTACCTGCAAGCAGGGCCGGATTAACCTATAGGCACACTAGGCACGTGCCTAGGGCCTACGAAATTCAGGGGCCTACGAAAAACTTGGGAGAAAAAAATTTNCGAACTTGATTGAATTCAACAGCCAATAAGGTTCGAAACCCACGCGTGACGTCGATTGCAGGTTACCCAATTCAAATAACCTAAATTAAATGATAAAAAAAAATATTGGAGACTTTTTATTTGCCAAGAATGGTGAATGGTATACTATGAGCTGCTACAACCTGGCGATTCCATTACGGACGGTCGGTACAGGCTACAATTGATTCGTTTGAGCAGTGCATTACGAGAAAAACGGCCGGAATACGAGCAAAGACATGACAAAGTTATTCTTCTGCATGATAACAGTCGGCCACATGTCGCAAAAAATTATTTGGAAGCGGTCAAGTGGGGTATTTTACCGCACCCGCCGGACATTGCTCCTACTGATTACTGGTTGTTCCGACGGATGCAGCACGATTTGGCAGGTCACCGGTTCACTTCTTTTGCAGAAATCGAAAATTGGCCCCTTACTTGGATCGCCTCAAAAGACGAGACATTTTTTCTACATGGAATTCGAAAATTGGCTGAGAGGTGGGAAAAAGTAGTAGCCAGCGATGGACAGTACTTTGATTAATCTGTTCATTCATTTTGTTCAGAAATAAATGCATTTTTGACCACAAAAAAAAACGGACCAAACTAATTTGTACTCCCAATAAAATCATTTGAAAGCAGATATTTCAGGAAAAACATGTTTGCTTTTTCCTGCGTAAAGCCAATGGATTCCAGCTTCATTAGACAAATAAACTGGTTTTTATTATTTTAAATCTTCTCTTGCCTCGATAACGATGAGTTATACTTCAGAAAAGCCATTTCTAGTTTTCACCCAATAAGTAGTGGCCTCTAATGTGCATAGTTGACTGACTTAATTTTTTTTACACGGATTCTAAAACTAGGAAGTAACTGCAGTTATTATAGAACATCCTGCATATTTCTAACAAAGAAAGCAGCATATTTTTGTTACTTCATTTCTTAACTAACAATATTACAATGCAAGATTTAACATTAAAATTTCACACACTGTTTCCCTGAATGTACAGTGTGCATAATAAAAAACAGACCACCCTTAATAACATTTGATCTAATGATCTTCACGTTCTAGGAATCATTCTGAATTATATGAAGGCATAACCTCAAATATGCTAATTAATTAGTGAAGGCAATAGTTTAAGTTACGAAATCAGACACAAAAGTGTACTTTCTCTGAATAAACATGCATTTTTTTCGAAGTATTCGGATTTCTAACCTCCAAAATATAGGGGATAGTCGTAATCTGGATAATATGGTCCCGATAGTTTGGTCAAGAAAGCCTTATGTTAATTTTACTTTTTGCGTATTTCGCAATATCTCGAGAAATTTTTAAGTTAATCTAAGAAAAATTTGCACACAATTATAAAATTCGTTTATCCAAAGATAATTCCATACCAAAAATAAATTTTAATAAATATTTATTATTTTTAATTAAATATTAGGTAGTTGAAACAATTTTGTAAGGTATAAAACTTTTTAACATATGTAATTTCACATGGAACATTACAATTCGAACAAAATCAGTTGAATAGTTCCTGAGAAATCTACTTTTAAAAAGGCATTAATTTAAAATTCGATTTCTCAGGACCGATTCAACCGATTTTGCTGGAATTTTGCATTTTGCTGTGTAAAATTACATACTTTAAAATTATGTAAAAAATTTTATACCTTACAATTCAAAATTTTTTCGATTATTATTTAATAAAAAAAAATATATATACTAAATTTCATTTTATAACACTTTTTAAAGCTTCAGTTATAAGACTTTATTAAAAATGTTAAAACACAATTTATACATCATACAATTATAGGAGATAGCTTTTTAAATCTCCCTTCTAAAAANAAAATATATATACAAAATTTCATTTCTTTTTTTGCATAGAATTATCTTTGGATAAACACATTTCATAAGTGCATGCAAAAAAATTTTAATTCACGTGAAAAGTTCTCAATATATGGCGAAATACGCAAAAGTAAAATTAGCATTAAAGGATCCAAACTATGAGGACTATATTTCTGAAAATGCAGTTACCCCGTATATCTTAGGTGTCAGAAATCTGAATCCGTCGAAAAACAAGTACGTTTTTTCAGAGAAAGTAAGTTTTTGTGTCTGATTTCGTAACTTAAAATATCGTCTGCACTTATTTATTAGCATATTTGAGATCACCCTCTGGAGCCATTATTAAGATTGAGTCCTATAACGTGAAGATCTAATCATTAGATATAAAGTTATTCAAGGTGGTATGATTTCTATTTTGCACACTGTACAACTTATTGGCCTAACAGTCCTTAGAGGACTTTAGTCTGCTCTGAATAATGAATGGCCTAAAAAAACTAGTAGCTACAAAACAAGCAGAAGTAAATAAAATCAGAAATTAATTAGATTATGCATTTAGAGCCGTTGAGATTGCATTAGATCAAAAGTTAATCTGAGTGTTACACTTTTTATATAAATGTTTGAATAATATGAATGTTTAAGAGAAAGGACTGAGGTTCAATTCTCAGTGACAATGGGAAACCACACCAGGTTCAAATCAATGGGTACCACTTGTCTTTTGTCTAGAAAAAAAGGTGGTTAGTAAAAGTAATGTTGATTTCATTACCAAAATTATCACATTGGTTTTGTGGAACCTTAACCTACTTGATCCTTCCTTGCTCACACTGGGCTGTAATACAGTAGAAATACATTTAAGAATATAAAATAATCTTAAGTCCATTTTTATTTTTAAAATGTATGATGAAACTAGCTTACCTGATCAATTTATTGCTTAATTTATTTTATGACAACTTCTTTTCATCATCAAAACTTAATATCATAACAAGTCTCCTGTATGCTTGGAGCTAGTAACTATTTTTTAATTTTAGTCATCACACTGTTTAAAAAACAATACCAATTACTAATTAGTTCCTGAAACATTTAAAAATAAGCAATAATAGGTTTCTTTTTAAAAAAAATAAGCTTATGCCTAAAGCTAGAAAAAAAAATGGTGATTAACTTCTTTAGTTTAAAAGTCACCCTTGCATTTATGCACATGATTTTATTCATTTATTTATGCAGAAAATATGATTTCATTTTTTGAAGTGTAGTTTGGCAATTGAAAAAGCTTTAAGGACAAGTAAATTTTCATTGAATAAGTTTCTAAAGGCAAAATCACATATTTCATTATTCAAATCTTTTTATTCTTGACAATAAATGCAAACATTCATTAAGCTAAAAGTAATGTGTGCAAATCAGTCGGCATGATAAAAATTTCAAATTCAGTACTTTTTATAAAATTATAGATTGTTTAGTAATCAAATAAGGCAGAGGAAGCTGCAAAGGTCTAATGACTAGTTAGGTTAAAATTTTATAAAAGAATGTGATGGGTGGCACAATTACTGACGACCAACTATTCGGCTGTTTAGCAAAAAACGTGACATGGTTAATGAAGTGGAGATTATGATGTAATTTAAACTATTTGATGAAAGATAAAACTGAGTAGATAATTTTAAAAACCTACAAATTATGGTAAAATTGGCTTTAAGAAGTGACGATTTCCGTTCTGAGTGCTTTTCTGTGCAAAAGGTTCCATGAATGTATTTATGGAGAAAAGGATTACAGAATTGAAAATAAACTTAAATGGTATTTTAAGCTAGAAAATACTGATTCCAATTAATGGCATGACAGCCATATTTTTTGTGACAGAAAAAATTTTCTGAATGAGTTCCAATGTATTTAAAGAAAAAAATTTCCCTATGTAATGATAGCAGCAACTTTAATAAGTTATTTAAATATAATATATATATATATTGTTTTAATCAAATTATAAATTCAGATTAAGAAGAATCTGAGGTTCTATCCCAGCCCATATAAAAAAGGCCAACTTTGATGTCTTTAACAGTTCATAGAAAAATCCTAAATTAATTTTCATAAACTTCATAGTTTATTCTTGTTAGGGTACACATCTAAAAATAGTTGTTGAAACTTAAAAATTTAACGTTTGAAACTGGATTGTTAAATTCAACACTAAAAAAAAATCAATATCCAATATGAAGTATAACCTTTTTAATATGGGCTAGGATAAAAACTAGACTCTCCTTAATTTAAAATATTTCCTCGCAAATTACTTAGACAAATGAAAATCTTTATCGAAAATAGAAGAACATTTAAAATAAAAACACATAAATAGTTAAATGGTATTTATTGATAAAAAATGACGACATATATCAAATGACATACAAAATAATTCACTGCACAATATCAATAAATTATATCAATGCTATCTAAATGAATGCTATTGACACGAGAACTGCTTCTTAATGAGAACTACATAACAATTTAATATAAAAATCTCAAGTAAAAGATCTAAACACAAACTAGATGAGAAAAAAAAAATAACTAAGCAATAAATTATAAAGACACTGTAAATTGTTTCCTTTCTAACATTTTCTTGATAATATAATTGAAATACATCATTTCACAAGTCTATTTCAAAGGTGAAACAATTAAAATAGTATAATATAAAAATTCTACTTATAGCTTAAATATAGAAACCAAACCAGCTGGTTAATATGCTAACTATTCATCATCATCATCGTTGTCCATCACTGGCTCAACCCATAATTCTCGACCAGATCTTTCCTAAAATAATACAAATNGAAACTCCTCACTTTAACGCCACGCAACAACTACCCTTCTAAGCAAATCGACTGTTTTTTGCACTCTACACATCGACAACAGCGCCACCTCACCGCTCCCATATCCATTTTGCGCATGCCCGCCCTTCTGTGAGTTTCAAGGTTAAGTTGCCACTATTTAATTTACAACCCTCGTATTTCCGTGCAAATCACTTAGTTCAATGAAAATCTTTATCGAAAATAGAGGAAGATTTAAAATAAAAACACGTAAATAGTTAAATGGTATTTATTGATAAAAAAAAATTATGACATATATCAAATGAGATACAAAATAATTCATTGCACAATATCAATACATTATGTATATATGATATCTAAATGAATGCTATTGACATGAGAACTGCATCTTAATGAGAACTACACAACAATTGAATATAAAAATCTCAAGTAAAAGATCTAAACACAAACTAGATGAGAAAAAAAAATAACTAAGCAATAAATTATAAAGACACTGTAAATTGTTTCCTTTCTTACATTTTCTTGATAACATAATTGAAATACATCATTTCACAAATCTATTTCAAAGGTGAAACAATTAAAATAGTATAATATAAAAATTCTACTTATAGCTTAAATATAGAAACCAAACCAGCTGGTTAATATGCTAACTATTCATCATCATCATCGTTGTCCATCACTGGCTCAACCCATAATTCTCGACCAGATCTTTCCTAAAATAATACAAATGTACCAATTAAGATAAATTAAACAAATCATCAATCAAATATATACATAGTTGTAATTAAACTGGGTGATAAATAAGCAGGAAAACATTGAAACAGAATAGAAAAATATTTTCAGACTGGACAATTAAAATTTTTATCAATACAAGTCAGGTTTGAGTTTTTGAGAAAACAAGCACTGAAAACTGATAAAAACTCCTTAAACCCTAAGATGATTATCATAAAAATCATAATGCATGGGAAGTTCATTATAGTATGATTTGACAACGTGCTAATATATAATTGGAAATAATTATATACTAAAATAAAAATAACTTTGAGCAGTAGAAAGCATTTCAACTTTGTATTCTCACTACTTTTTTATTAATTCAGTTTACTTGCAGCTCTAATCTCTTGCACAGATCTTAAATTTTTTGAATGAAATCAAAAATCAATTATTATTTTAGCTTTCATAAAAATATTTGAAATATTTCGTTTTGTTATAAAAATTTGCAAAATATAATTTTATCCTGTAAACTTTAAAATCTTACAACTGAAATCCAAGCAATTATAATTATAGTTCAGAAATTAACTTATTCAAAATTAATTTAATTCAAAAATAATTCAATTGAAATTGAAATTAATTTATTCAAAAAAAAAATGAACCTTAAAGTAATTGTTTTCATAAACACTTTCATTAATTTAAACATTTTAAGGGTATAGTGGCTATTTTCTATTAATATGATTTGTCCTTAAACTAATTGACTCTTAACTTCCATTTTATTGTATTTATAAAAACATGCAAGTTAAAAATAAAACTTAGAAAGAGATCAGTTCTAATGCCAAGAAAGCTACTTTAATGATTTTGAAAAGATACTTTTTAATTTTATTATTTTTTTATTCAAATTTTTTTTATATATTTTCTTGCATAATAATTTGATATTTGATGTAAATTATCCAAAACTTTTCAAAAGGAAAGTGCCTGATACTTTCTGTAAGTTATAAGCCAGACTATACATTAAACATGAGAATTTTCCTAATTGCAGATTTTACAAATACACAGAATTAAGAAAACAACAATTCAATAGCGATATTACTATGTTTCAAATTGATAGTGAGAAAATTAAACTAAAAGTGATATTTTAATGTTGATCAAATTCTAATGAATGGAGATTTATATCTCTCCAGGAAAATTTTTTTTTAATTACCAAATGTAAATACTAAAAAGAAAAAAGTAATAAAAATAGAATTTTACTTTGTTTGAAAAATGAAATATCCTGTTATCTACTAATGTGTTTAGTATTTTGAATGCTTAGAATCAGAGTAATGAAATACAGCAAATTAAGGTATAAGAATTTTTTTTTAAAAAAAGGCTAACATTTTTAAAATAGAAAATTATATTTTTTTATTTCAACTGTTCATACAATTGGGATAATTAGCACAAAAATTTATTCTCGTACACAAGTGTATCAAAACTTCATCCTCACTTAATTATTCAATGTATCTCCATTGAATGATATAAAGAAAAACCATTATGCTGAGTAGAAAAAACAACCTAGCTTAGCCCTGAACTCAGTTCAAATTGTACAATTTAAGAGTTAAATTAATAGCAGTTAAGCAACTTACAGTTATGCACTTTCTTTTCATTTCATTCACCTATAAAAGAATAATAAAAAATGAGTGAAACAATACTTTAATATTAATAATTACAATAAAAAATATGAAACATTTTGATAAAAATATTTTTTATTATTTATGAACATAAGATTTTTTTAAAATTGGATTTAGCATTATATTGTTCTTCGTTTATTTATGAAAAGTTTATTTTCACTTCTAACTGTACTTAAGACAATTATTCATAATGTATGATGTTCGTAATTTTATTTTAATTATATAAATCGATTTTTTTTATATTCAATCAACATAATACTTAATTTAAATTTTAAAACTAGGAAGAAAAAAAAGTTAATTCTCCTTGTAATTTTTCAAACTTCACTGATTTTTGAAATACATATTCAAATTGGATCAGTATAGGTGAATGCAGAGATGGGCCTCATTCAAGGTAATTTTAGTCAAGACTAAATTCAGTCAGACAAAACTCATTCTGAATATTCATTCACATATAATTTAAGTCATTAATCATCATTAATTATGCCCATTTACATAAAATGAAGAAATTTCCATGAAGAAAGTTGAATGGGAGAGGAAGGCATGGACATGGGACAGAAGAAAAAGTGCTGAGCTGAAAAAACCAGCTGTGCTGGTTTGGGACTTATTTTCAGCTCATAAAACTAATAAAGTGAAGGATAAGTGTGGTGAATTGGAAACAAAAATGTCTGCAATCCTAGGAGGCCTAACACCTCTGCTTCAACCAATTGATGTCTCCTTAAGCAAGCCACTAAAGGTTAGGCTAAGATCTAAACAGGTAGATGGGATGGCTACTGAAGATAAAGACATAACAAAAAATGGAAATTTAAGAAAAATAGATCTAGTAGCAGTAGCACAATGGGTAAAAAAAGCATGAATGGATATTTAACAACATGGAATGATGACAACATGGACAGAAGCAAAGATGTTGAGGACGATGTACCACATTCAGAAATTCCAATGACTGAACAGGAATTTGACAAACTTTTTGGAGAATCCGATTCTGATACGGAATTTATTGGATTTTAGTGCTTTTTTTCTCTTTTTTTTATGTATTGTCATTCACATAAACATAGGTAAGCTAGAAGATTAAAAAATAATATTCATTTCAAATTTGCCTTTTTAGATGTTTCTTTTTCAATTTTTATATTTAGGCATTCCGTTTTTTTTATTTTTTTATCTATCATTTCATGTATTTTTATGTTTAGCAATATTTAGGATATTTCTGTTGGTGATGTTTTCCTAGAATTTTTTAATGTTTGTGGATTCGATCATAAGCCGACTTTAGAGTTCCAAAAATTTTCTAAGCATTCTGGTCTTACATTCAAAAATATATAGTACCTTAATAAATGATTTTATTAATTTGATCCCAACACATTTTACTATTTTTAATCACTTATTGAATGAAACATACATTATTTATTACAGTAACAATTTTATAACTTCTTTTAAATATTGCAAAATGGTAAGAGGAAAAAATTAGTACACTATTTGTAAAATCCCGCTATAATTTTTCTTACCTCCTCACAAGACGGTTTATCAGATATCTTGAACTCATTAATGCATAATTGACAAATTTCAACATCCTCCTATAAATAAAATCAGTAAATTTTATCACTTATAAACACTCTTCTCATACAGTTTTTATAAAATATTTAAAAAGAATTACAGTGAAACCACCTGTTATGGACACTCCTGCAAGACGGAGACCTCTCAATATGGACATATTTTTAATTCCCTGGAAATCTTCTACGAATTATGTACATTCTCGGCAAAGCGGACACTCCCATAACCGGACACGGACAGTCATTTTTGCCCTGAAACGTTATTTTCTATCTCTTCAAAATGGAAACTACTTTTTCTAAATTTGAAAAAAAAAAAAAAACTATTTCTGCTTCAAATTGCAAGAAGAAAAAAATTTAACTTTTCACCAATTTTAAAACATATAAATTTTGTGCCTTATCCATAACTAAAAATATTGTAAATCCATTTCACTACTAAAGAATCCATCTTTCTTCAGTCAACTTGCTTTATCTTTGCAAAGAAAGGAGAGAAAATACTGCTGCTCTTGTGAAATAATTCCAACAGCTGCATCATTTGATCTTTTCATCTGGAAGACACAGGTTATGAGACCCCTCAAGTTGAAGTGACACCTTAAATGCTCTCAATGCTTCTTTCCCACTGAAAATTTATTTCATTTTCTTATCAATTTGAGGACTGCATTTAACACAGCTGGGGTAAAAAAGGAGAACAGAAGTATAATCTTTGAGGTATTCATATAAATGAAACATTTATTCAGACTATTGATAGATGATCAATTGTGAATTATCAACTCCATAGGTCCTCATGACTTGCAGGTATGCATTGTTTTTTTTCTGTGAATCCTGGGAGGTTTACTTTCAAGGAGGTATTAACCACGTTTCCGATCAAGTGATAGGTAAGTGTTAAGGGATGAAAAACCTAATAATTGAAACCGACTGAGGACTAAAAGCTCCTATTCTGTATCATATGTCTAACTTGATTGTCTGTGCTAATGGGAAAATTATATTCATTTATCTGTAGCTACATCAAGAATTATGTATTTATTTCAAACTTTTTTTATATATTCTTTTTCATCAAAAAAAATATTTTTTAAAGTTTAAATAACTATCCTTGTAGACAATTATATCTATATCTTTGAAAATATTCTGAAAACAATTTATGGTGTTAAACTTCGCTATTAGGGTACCCTTCCTGTAAACGGACAATTTTTTTGTCCCAAGAATGTCCATTTAACCAAGGTTTCACTGTACTTCATAACAAATACAAATGTGTTATTTCTAATAAAAACTACCTATTTAATCACTTTAGTTAGGTATACTAACATTTAAACATTAGTTAGATAAATTAACATATACCAAACAAAATTTGAATCTTAATATGCAAATTTCCTAAATGTAACATGTATAAAATATGAAATTTTGAATTTTTTTTTAAAAAATATTTTTAAAAAAATAGAAAATAAAACAAAAATAAAAGATTAAAAATTATTTTAATTTATTACTATCAACTTCAACATACTTAAACCAGTTCTTTAGTTGACGTAAACAAAATGTTAGGAAAGAAAAAGATGAAAGTAAATGAATTTATAATAATTTGTAATTTAATTTCTAATAGAAAAATTACCTTGTTTTTAAGTTTCTTAGCGCACTTCCTTTTTGCTCTAAATTTCAAGCTAGGCTGGAAAAGAAAGTAATTATTAGGAGCACTTCAAATAACAAAGCAAAAATAAAACATTTAAATTAATAAACTCACAGCTAATGTAATGTTCCATTAAAAACAGTAAAAAAAAATTATATTTGAGTTTTTCTTCGACACCATTTAAGTACTAACACATTATGATAAATTTTTGTAACATAAATTGAAAAATTAGTCTTCTTCTAAATACAATTAAATATAATCAAAACTTACGAAAACTTTTTGAAATTTAATATAACAATTTTTATATTAAAATTCAGTATTTTGTGCTTGTAAGCATATTATTTTAATAAATTTATGATTTAATGAGGGGAAACCTCAAATGAAAAATATCAGCCTACTTTCAAAATATAAACAAACAGCGTTACACATGATTGTTTTAAAAATTGAAATAAAGTATAATAATAAAATGGTATTTGGAAACTCTCAGTCACTTGAAAAGAAGAAGCTATTTTTTATAAGTTAAAATACAAAAATATGTGGATCTTGTTTTTAAATTTAGAAAAAAGTACAATATAAAAAAGTAATTGGTAACTCTCTGCCAAAATCATAATAGTCAAAAAACTGGAAGTAAAAGAGGCTTTAATTTATATGTTTGCACAAAAACATCATTATATGTAAAATTTTCTAAACATATATAATAATAAAAAACGTATTTGGTTGAACTTCATTACAATGTCTTAAGACATGAAAATTGTAAAAATTTCGTATAAGATGCACAAAAATTATGAGTGTTACCTGACCAGTTTTTTTTTTTTTTTTACTTGGAACATTTTTGATGAGAAAAAAGTATTAGTTTAAAAATAAATAGTTTTTTTTAAATTTATTTCTAAATACTTATTTTTTATATAATTTATTATAACTTAAAAAAAATTAAAATGAAGCAAAGAAGCTTGGGGGCATAAAAAAATTTTAATATGTGAGCATTAATATAATTTTATCGATTACTATTATTTTTCACCTATTGCTTCTTTTTATTTATTTATATATTATTTCTTCCTGATGCTATAAAATTGCGACTGAAATCAACAATAAATAAAAGAAAAATTAATTGAATAAAGAAAAATCTAAACTTAAAGCAAGTGAAAGAAACCCTTCCCGTATTATAAAATACAAAAGAAATTTTCTTAAAAATAAAAATTAATAAAAAATCATTCTTCTCCAATATAACAAAGACATTCAAAAGTTATCATATAAAGTTAGAATATAAATGAAAAAATATAATTACTTGAGGCAGGCAAGCTTTTCTCATAGATTGAACCTAAGACAAAAAATAATTAGTTTTTTTACTTCTATGAGACAAAAATTAAAGTGAAAAGCATTAAATTATTAATTAAAATTGTCATCAATTACAAAAACTTACATCATCTCTAGTAACATTTTGTGGCAAAATAAAATCATCAACACACTGATAACATGCTTCTATGTCAGCCTGTAAACAAGTGTTAATGAAGGTTATAAATATAACAAATAGTTAATTTATAACAGCAAAACTAACATTTCAAGTATAAAAAAGTTGTAATGGGCACAAACATTTTTAAAAAGCAAAAATGCACTTAGAGAGGATAGAGCAAACAGTATTAAGACTAATATCCACCAAAAAAAAAAAGGTTCAAATTTATAATTACCCCAACATGGAATGATGACANAACTAACATGTCAAGTATAAAAAAGTTGTAATGGGCACAAACATTTTTAAAAAGCAAAAATGCACTTATAACTCAAACACTTATAAATAATGAAAAAAATAAAATTTATTTGAATTTGGTAAATATTAGGGCTAGAGCAAACAGTATTAAGACTAATATCCACCGAAAAAAAAAAGGTTCAAATTTATAATTACCCCTTATAGTCCAGTAAAATTAAAACTTTTTTTCCAGCAAGATTAACACCTCAATTTTTTCTCATAGAAAGCTTTGTTATGTCCTTATAAATATTTCCTGAAAACTCCCTTACTCTCCTCTGTACACTCCCCCTTTTTTGAAGAAAAGAATAGAATTTCTTCTAGGCGGGCAAGAAAGTCATTGTTTCTGATGTATTTCTTTCACGCTTAATCAAATGAGACCAATCAAGAGATGATTGGATCAAAAGTTTAGATGTTGTAATGGTTTATAGACAAAAAGTACAAATAAATACTTGCACCTATTTACTCGTTTGATATATCTATCTAAACAAGCGAGACATCATTTACTATGGATTTTTTTTTAAATGCTGAATCGAACAAAACTATACATAAGTCAATAAAACAAATAGTTCAGAAGTTGTGATTGTTTTCAAGCATAAAGAGTTCTATTTTGTCATGACTTATGTAAATTTTTCACTTTACCATCTGAACATATGAGGTGCATTTTCAAATGAAAATTTTTATACTGAATTGAATTAGATTAGTAGTTTTGAAGTTATAAGACTATTCTTCATAATAAGTGCAATTCACAAATATAATATTTTATACCAAAAAAAAAGAAAGAAAAAACATTTCAACAGTTGTAATATTATTCCTTTATTCAATTAAACAAGAAAAAATACATAGGAAACAATGTTTAACTTATTTAGATAGCAATGTCAGATGTATAAATAGGTATAAGCACAAAATTGTCTTTTTTGTACATAAAACCCTTATAACTTTTAAACTGTTGGTCTGATCGATTTGTGATTAAACTCATTCAATTCAGAGAGGAAGAAAAAAGACACATCAGAAAAAATACCTCATTTACCAGTATAAATAATGTAAAATTCTCCTCCCAAATTACTGCCATCTAAAAAGGCAGTAATTTGGGAGGTGAATTACTGGCTCTCTAAAAAGGGTGAAGCATGCAAGGGAGTTTTCAGCCATTGTTTATACTGCCAAAACAAAGTTTTCAGTGAAAAAAATAATCCTGGATATTAATTCCTAGAATTCTTCCATAAAAACACCATTTTTTATATAATAATTACTGGACTATTTGGTCAGATTCTGGGAAACTAAGCTTTCTATAATAATTTTAAATAATTTATATTTTTACTTGCTTTTTTTGCAATGGGATCAAGATAACATGGTTATGAATGGGCTAACAGATAACACATCTATTAACAGATGAATTTGAAATACATAAAATTAATTTATTGTAAATTTCCCTCAACCTAAGTATAAATAAAACTTACCATCTTAACTCATTTATATTTACTAATGCAATAAAATGATGTGGTCTTACCAAATTTATATATAATGTAGTAAAATTTTTTTTTATGATTAAATAAAATTGTTGATAATGTAAGGTATTGAAATATTTCTCAAAATATGATAAATTTCTAAAATGAAGAAAAATTTTAAGAAAGAAGCCTGAAATAAAATAATTTTCAGATTATAAAACATTCATAATAATTCCATTTTATTAAAAAAATAATAAAAAACACATAGGATATATTTTCATGAGGAAAAAAGTGGCAACTGGCAGACACTTTTTTAATCGGCCGTTAATTTTGAGATTTAAAAACAATTATTGGATTGGGGGGAATAGCATTAAAAGATGCCTTTTTCATTAACTTTACAGCCATATATGCAATAATGCAACCTTCAATAGAATGGAATCAAAAGTTTGTACCTGTTTCTCAGTATTATCTTCACATTTTCCTTTTACCCACTCTTTAGGATTTTTCTGGAAGAAAAAAATCCAATTCATCAAACAGAATAGTCTTTAAATAAAAGAAGAGACAAAAAATAATGAATGCTTACCTTAGGAACACAGGCTCGAACTAGGTTTCGAATCTAGTAAAGCAAGAAAAAATTATTTTCTTCCTCAAAATAAATAAAATTCAATGCATTTACAATTTATGAAAATTCAAGATACTCAAATTATGCAAATTTTAATTAATATAATAAAATATAGCTGAAAAAACTTTTTCATCAAATTTTAGTCACGCAATATTCTTTTAAAATATGATAAATATATTTTTGAATTCGGATGAATATGAGAACATGATTTTATATTCCACACTAGTCTGAAAAATCCAAAAGTATTACAAGACTTTTAAATTTTATTTCAAAAGTGCTACTCTAAAAATTAATCAAAATAAATTTCTTTCAAAAATGTTTTGCAAATCATTTGATTTAAATCATTGATTTTTCTTTTAAAAAAATCAGTTAATTATAATCAACATAATATAATTAATCAGCTTGAATTTAACTTAATTTCTGAGTTATTTAACATTTTAATGCTAATTTAATTTTTATCAGTTAAGACTAGAAACATTCTTTGAATTGTTCATCCATAAATAAAAAACAAAAATACTCATTGAGACATTAATTTCAATAAAAAAATTTTCTTCCATAAAATTTTTTTATAAATAAAAATTTTTTCTTCAATAAAATTTCTTTCATCTATTTCAAAAAATTTTTTTCTTCTTTTTATTAACTGCTTTTACACTCATTGTCATCACATAACATATTACTCTTTTGTTGCATTAAAGAGACAAAAAGTAATTATAATAGTTAAATTAATGTACTTAATCAGTAGTTAAAAAAAATATATAGAAAGCAAACTTTGGTGAAAGGAATAAACTGGAATATTGTTTGAAGAAAATGCCTGCAAACCAGCTTTGTCTCAGTTGAATTAAATTGTAAATGTATTTATCATAAGAAATCCCCTCAATTTTGCTCTTTTTTTTTCCTTCTTGATTTTAATAGGATTGATTTATTTTTTTAAATTTAATTCCTGTTTTTTAAGTTACTTTTTTCTTCAGGAATTTTCTTTTCAAAAAATATTTTTATGAAAATTATAGCCAGGAAAAATATGAAACTAAAATCTACTACATAAACAAAAGGCACTCCAAGTGATATGGGCTTGAAAATCAGATAAGTCTAAGAAAGAATTTTTTTTTTTTAAATTTATTAAAAACTATAGGAACATTTTCTTGATAGCTCTTATTACAATATGTAATAAATTCCTCTTTCTTATCAACAACTTCATACAATACATGGAATATAATAATCATAGTTTCAAAAAGTTTTTTTGGTAGATGCAACCTTCTACAGCTATACCATTACCATCAAAATGGCATTAAACAGCCAAGTTTTATGTAAAGTTATAAAAGTTGGCTTATCACAGTTTTCAAAGTTATTGTTTTCTATTCTATTGTTTTGTTTACACTTATCAATATTTTTCTATTTTGTACAAAGATAATTTCATGCAATAATCATAGCGTCAGAAAGATTTTTAGTACAACCATCAACAGCTAGTTTATCAGCTTCAACATTTCCAGGATTATTAGCATGACCTTTGACATGACACCAAACGACATTCAATCCTTGACGAGCTTCATCTAAAGCTATAAAATCATCTTTGTTTATCACAGGTTTCCCAGAAGCCAAGGTCCAATTATTTTGTCTCCACTTATCAATCCAGTCTGTGATTCCATTTATAACAAATTTACTATCAGTATACAATTTCACATTTTTGATGCCAAAGTGTTTCGCTTGTCGCAAAGCATGTACTACAGCGAATATCTCAGCTCTGTTATTAGTCTGCCTACCAGGTATTCTCATGCTGGTATTAAGTTTACTACCAGGCCCCCAATAAACACCGATTCCTGCTTTGGCACCATCCTGTCCGTTGTTTGAACTGGCGCCATCTGTAAACACCGGAACAAAATCATCCTCTTTACATTCTGGCAATTTGATTTGGGTGCAGGTTTTGCCAGTCCTTACAAATTCCAAGGCTTCATCTTTAGAAAAGAATTTTCTAAACACCGGCTTAATGGTGTCCTTTATTTGTTCGTCACACTCAGTCCAAGTTGAATACACACCAGGAGATTTTCCTCTATGCACTGCATAATATACTTTTGAAGGTCTCTGTTTTGGTATTATAAGAGGAGTAATATCCTCAACAGTACTTGTCGCGGAAGTTACTAAAAAATCAACAGGCTCTGAATCCGAATCATCATCAGCAACCGGATTATTGATTTTACAATATTTAGAAAAATTGTCCGGTTGCATTCGTAACCTAGCACCAGCTACAGCTAGCCTATCAGCCTCATCGTTACCGTGATTCCTAGCATGGGCTTTAACGTAGATCCACTCAACATCTAAATCCTTACCAACTTCTTCTAACTCTAAGAAATCATCTTTATTGACAACATCTTCACCTGATGTTAATTTCCAACCATTATTTTTCCATTTTTTAATCCAGTCAGTGATTGCGTGAATTAAGAATTGACTGTCAGTATAAAGCTTCACGTGCTTTGCACCAATTTCTTTGGCTTGATAAAGAGCATGAATCGCAGCATGAATTTCAGCTCTATTGTTGGTCTGTCGTCCTGGGAGCCTTTTACTGGTATTTAAGGGATGGTTCGGACCCCAGTAAACACCAATACCGGCTCTTGCCCGTCTTTTACCATTCTCTGCACTGGCGCCATCGGTAAAGATGATAACACAATCGTTGGAATCTTTTAACATAAATTCTGAATCAGCATTGTTTCTTTTATGCTTTTTAATGACTTTGTTACTGTAAGACATATCTCTCAATTCTCGTTTGGTAGCCTTAATAATACCACCAGTTCTCATATACTCTTTAGCTTGTTCCTCATCATCAAATTTCCTGTATGACGCATTTTTACAGTCTTTAATCTGCGCCTCACATTCAGTCCACGTTCTATAAATACCAGGCTTTTTACCTCTGTGAACTGCATAGTAACAACTTCTAGATCTTTTGGATATTGGGTAGATTAAAGCAGAGGAGCCAGGGTTTGAATACAATGACGAATTTGCTGAAGTTCCATTACTTGAATATGATGTTGAGCTTATTACGTTTGAGGTAGGCTCAGGTGTTAATAAATCTTCTTCTTCTGAGAAAAATGAATCAAAGTCTGAAGCAGAAATATGCATAGTACTCGAGTTGTCAGAAGTTGTACTACTTGAAGACTGAATGCCGATAAATTCTTCAGCAAGAGACTTAATCTCAAATTTTTTGAATTTTGCACTTGGATAACCTTTGACTTGAGCATCACATTCTGCCCATGTTGTATAAATTCCTGGAACTCTTCCAACACGGACAGCGTAGAATCCTGGTTTGGGCATTCTAATTTTATTTGAATAATAACGGGGATGCGAAAATGAGAAAATATACTTCTGGTGGAAAAAGTGAAAAAATGTTCGTTTTAGCGAGACCATGCCACGTGACAATAAATTAATGTAACATGATTTTCAGATAAAGATAAGCTCAAAAAATAAAATATTAATGCATTTTATTATATTTTAGTTTACTTTAGATTCCGTAAATGATCTTAAAAAGGACAACACAAACACATACAAGCAGTTCCAAGTCAAATTCGAAATTAAAGTAAACAAACTAGAAATTACGACGCAGTCACAGTTAATATGTACATTTAATTTATTTAAGAAAATATTTGCTTGTTTTTTTTTAAGTTTTAGTAAAAATTAAAGAAATAATAACTATAGTTATAATCCTATTCAAAATTACTTTCTTACGAATTCATTAATTTTATTATTTTATTAGAAAATTTACTTGTTTGCAAAATCAACGCTAGATAGCAGCACTATATCAGCTGTCTTAAAAACTTTTAGGAGAAAGATAGCGCTATCAGTTGAACGTAAGCCAATATATACCGTTTGTCGTGCATTAAAATTTCTGAGTATATTAAGAACTAATGTACTTTCAAACTAGTTTTAAACATTAATTCGGCATTTATAAATTAAATTTCAAGGAATAAATTACCTTTTAAAACCAAAAATTTATAAGTTTCATTATTTTTTCCCCTTCCATATAAATTTGTGAACAGTATCAAAATCAATGTATATCAAATGTAAAAAAGAAAAAAAAGGAAAGAAATATGTACATCAAAAATATTTTGGCACTGTACTGTTTCGGAGGTTCTTATAAAAACGCCAGACTACTATTGATGTCAATCATGCTTTATTAATTGTAGTAATAGGTAATAAGTACGACGATGGTGATTGGTAACTAATTTACTAATACATTTTTAAATACATATGTATTTTGGTAACAGATTTTTCCCCTCCCCTAATGGTACCAATATTTTCAAGGAGAGAAATTTTAAATATTCAAAAATTCTGTTATCCTTTTTTTTAAATGTACTTTTCGTTTAACAATATTGATAATAATATACACATAAATTATTTTTCTAAATAAATTCCCATTATTTTTTTAGAAATAACAGAAAATAAATTGAATTATAACGCATTTTTCTATGCCTTTCACTGATTAAATTTGTATTTAATAATGCATTTATAAATTAGAAAAATAATTGGTTCATTATAATAATTAAATTAAATATTAGAAATAAAAATGATAATTTATATATTCTAACAAAATAAATAGATTTAATGAAATATTATTTTCAATTAGTAGTATTTCTCTGCAAAAAAGTAATTCATAACTTAATTAAAATGAATGGTCTATTTTTGTAAGCTTTTAAAATAAAGAGAAGTTGATACATAACAAAAAGACTAATTTTAATTAAATTTATATTAATATATTTAAAAAACATATTAATTTTTTAAAAAAAAATTTGTATGTTATGTATTATTAAATGACATTTGCAACTGTGACAAACATTTGCAATATCCTAATTCCGTTAATATTAAAACAATAAGAGTTAATTTGTAATATATAACTTACATATAATTAACACTTACAGTAAATTAACTTTTGCTTAAATGGTTTGGGAAAAGATGACATACTTTGTCAGCCTTTCTGTTGGGCTACTCTGAATGCTGCTTAGCATTGGAACATAATCTCTCTAATCATAGCATAATCTCTTAGCATTGGACCACTGCAAGAATCAGTGGCGTAGTTAGAGGGGGCGAGAGAGGACGTGTGTCCCGTTTGCAGCTTCAGAGGAACGTTGAATTCATGTAACATAATTAGAAATAAATTTCAAAATTTAATATTCTTACAGATATTACCAATTTCATTAGTTAATAATGGACCAAGCAAGTTCTCTTATTTTTTACTTAAATATTAAACAGAATGTCCAATATAATTGTAGCTTTCACTTCATGCAGCATGCAGGTGTTTTTAAAAACTTTTTTTTTAATGAAAGGGTGACGCATTGCATAAAAATCGCTTTCGAATTAGACTTATCGCTCAATTAATTAAAATCATAAACATTAAAAATTCAAAGTGCAACGGAAACTACATACTGTTCAATTTTTAACCAAATCGAATGAAAAAGTTTAAAATTATCGAATTACGTTGTTTCACAAAACAGTGTTAAAAGTTGGTAAAATAATATTCTATGTATATTCTAGAATCCAAATCCATTTTTTCAATAATCAAAAATTTAAAATCATCCGAAAAAACATCATATATTAATAATGCCCTATCTACGCCTCTGGCGACAATGCTCCATCTTTCCTAGCATAGGAACAATGCGCCATTTCTCCTAACAAAAACTCTCCCACTTTAGTAGGAGAGATTGAGCCGGCTTTTTAAGCTGAAACATGGTAGCTTCTAAAAAAATTCTTTGGCTTACAAACTGTTAGCCAAGATTCGAGGTTTATGAAAAATAGTTGAATTTAAAAAAAATTTGTGAGAAAAGAATTAAGAAGAAAAGCTATGGAAATCCAGCCACTTCTTAGAGAAAAGAAAACAAAAGGTTCTATCACTGAAACTTGTTGCAATCAACTTGCTCATTCAAGAACAAAGAGCAATACTGTTCTTATACAAATCTGGAATCGCAGCGAGAATACTGTACTCTTTCTCCTTATGCGCCAATCCCTCTTAGTTTTACGTTGAATTTATTCTAATTAATAAACAGAAAACTTAGTTTATAGCAAATTAAATTAATAATATTCCGAATTAAAAATTTAGCGACTAGTTTATGCTTTAAAATTAAGTATTTATGATTATTATATTATTTATGATTAAATTTTTAGCGTAAGAATTTTTATATAAAAAATTTTATACTATTGTAAAACATAATAATTTTTTTTAAGTAACTTACGTGTCTTAATTCTAATTAAGACGTCAATTATAACAAGAAACACTCTATTTAGTGTCCAATAATATGAGGCAAGCATATTTGGATTCCATTTTGCTTAATAACGATTTTCTAACGTTAAAATATCTTAGGTAATCGTAAAAAGAAGGAAAAAGAAAGAAAGAAAAAAAGAAGAAAGAAACCTAAGCGCAATTTTGTGGTCACATTTGGCTTTGTGTACGATTAACCGCTACATTTATCCTTTAAGCAAAATGACTGTAGACCCTTAAGCAAATGACCTTCGCAAATGATTGTCATCTATATCAACAGACAAATTTAAGTCTTTTTTTTTTTTTTTACGAAGAAAGAAATTAAAATCACAGTAATTTGACGATAATGGTATGAAAAAAATTCACAGTTGCATTTATTTAGGAGAAAATTTAGCAATGGAGACCAATATCATGCAAAAAAGTTCTTTTTAGCGAAAATAGTACCATACTAATAAAGAGTAGCATGTCCCTCTGTCTGAGAGGGAAGTTAATGTATGTTACCTCCACTTATGAAGTAGTGACTTAATTGCAAATCCATACAACAATTTAGAATAATATGAGAAAATCTTTATTTGATATAACGAGAAAGGATCGAAGGTGAGAAGCATATGCTTCATATGATTCAGATACCATATGGTTAAGATGTCCACTTTCGTGTTATTTAAGTGTTTAAAATGACGTTGAATTTTCATCTTGGATTGATGAACTGCTTGACATCAAACAACCAAGAAAACAAAATCGTACGGTGGTCTGACGAAATTGTAGTTTTGGTAAATAGAATATGGGTCACAAGGACGATTTTCCCACTCTCAACCCCCCCCCTCCTATCCGTTACCCTGGATCATGGATCCATGCCCTGGATTCGACAACTCTTTCCCCCACTCCACACCAATGTATTTCATTTTCTTACTGAAACGTTCTGCTATGGAGAAAGAGCAAGATTTGCAGAAATTATGGTAACGGTGAGGAGGAAAGTGTGGATAGAGGGAAAATCGTATAACTTTGAGATGTATATTCTGATAACAAAGAGTTTAAGGAAGCAGTAGGTGCAAACAGAAAGATAAGAACAGCGGATCAAAATGTTTTGAAAAACCTTTAGCCGGGCATGGATTGATTAATAGTAAAAGAAGATGACGATGAATGAAGCGAAGTTAGATCTCTCGGGAATCCGTCTATAAAAAAAAGACATTTAGCCACTACTTTTTAATTTTTTATGAAATTTAAAAAACTTAAGAAATTGGACTTTCATTATTTTTCTAAGTCTTTAATTTTATTATTTCGAGACTAAAAATTTTGAGGTGTTTATGAATTATACTAAAAATATTATACGACGACCAGTAGAATTACGAAGTTCTTTACGTTAAACAGCACAGCGCATTACATGCAACTACAGGTATTTACAAAAATAAATAAGTTTAATGATCCTATAAATGATTTAAAATAAAAATTTTCTTTTCCATATTACCTATGACATTACTATTCTATGTTTAACAAAAACCTTTTATATCCAGACGTTAATAACATGTAAATGCTATTTATTTAATTAACTGGAATAACTATGACGTACGATTTCCACTACAAAACAGTCGAAATCCTATCAATCAAAAGAATGAAGATAAAAAAAAGAAGACGAGAAAAAGGAAGAGAGGCAGAAAAAAATAATCGAAAGCGACTTACTTCACTCTTCGTTGGATATTCGGGGAGAGAATAGTTTTCCACACATGATTTGCACTGTTGAAGCAGAGTCTATAATAGAACATAAAATAATATTCTATATTGTTATTTATGATTAAACTCTTTGTATATTACCTTTCCAGTGCACTTTAACCTCATATACATTTAAAATCACGAACGATGTTATTTTATGTACAGTGTGTTGGTTTTTACAGCGATTGTATTCTTTTATTTCCACTGACATACACAGACGATAAACAAAAACATTTATAACAAGAAAAAGTCGTTTGGTTGCCTAGCAACCAGCCAGAATTGCAGTTATTATAATTACAAGAGTTGGCAGACGATTTAAAACAATTATTTAAACTAACTGTCCATTGATGTCGCAACACAGTGCTAAAAAAAGGACTACATGAACAAAGGACTCAACATGGTTTACAGGGATTAAATTAGCATATGTTAGATTTCTGTTCTAGGATTCAAAGATCTAATCTACTGTTTCAATAAAATTAGATAATGATTCGTCAAATTTTATAGTTTATTTATTTCTTTTTCCTTCACTTAAATATTTTACGACGACATTAAATACGACGACAACCACTCTACGTACCATTAAATTGTTCAGTAAAGCAAACTATTGTTAAGGATTTACAAAAATTAAATACCCGTGTTAATTTTTTAACTTTGTCTGCCAATGGACAACTAGTCAAATTTTCATTTTGTGACGTACCTAAATTAACTGTTAATCGAGTTTGAAGTCCTGACGTAAATATTTTCATCATAAAGACCTCATCTTTAATCTGAATGTAAGCAAAAACTGGTTCTGAAGCTTGCGAGGAAGTTTTAAATTAAAAATAAAATGTTAAGTAAATAAATTTAGAATTTTTATTGTGTTCTTATTTTTTATCGTATTATACATTTAATAGAAATTTTTCCCTAACAGATAAAATTGTTATTATAGTACCGACTTGTTTTGGTGGAACATTTAAATAATAACTTTCTTCTTTGATTAAATAAAATAATATTTTTAATACATCAGCACCTACAGATGTATCGAACTTGAGAACCAAAGAGACGAGCGGAGTGATCATATCCAAATTCTCGATATAACTGTTTTATTTATTTGTTAGTTTGTTAATCAGTATAAAAGGGTAGATGAATAGTGAAATACGTGTCCTCATCTTTTTTTGAAATGATAGATTTTATCCACTGTACGCTAATAAGTAGAAACAATATTTCGTTTGACATGATTTAAATATTTGAAATAATATAAATACCGTAACGATAAAATAAAGATAATTTTTGCCTATAACATTTAAAAAAACAATTGCAATTTGCATTGTTACTAGGCACAATCGTTCTTTGAAATTTAAATTTTTAAGCTAGGCAAAAAAAATGGTCGCAAATTCGATTGATGATAAATTATATTTGGATATAAATTCTTCTTGTAGTTGACAGGAGGGTTGTGCTGTCATCCAGCACAGAGCTCTGATTAAAATTAGAGAGCTCTAGAAATTCGGAAAGTGAACAGAATTTTGATATACGATACATTTTCTTTGGCAACAGTATCACGATAATTTTTTCTTGTCGTAATCAAGAAATGATCTACAATTGTATTCAAATTCCGAGTTCCTTTAGAAATTAGAGTGTTCTACTTGCGGAAAGTCGATCATAAAATTGCTTCATGAATGAAAAGAAAAATAATAAAAATGTCGTAAAGCAAAAAAGTACATTTTTAAAGACGTGGTTCACTATGAACTTAGGCCTATTTTGCCCATCTTCTTAGTAGATTATTAATTAAAGAACATTTACAATAGATAAAATTGGTTATACTTACCTCATTCTTTACCCGCTTTTCACATTTCGTCTTTGCATATGCCCTTGGAGGTTTCTAGAATGAAAATATCGGTACAAATTATTATTTTTATGATCAAGCATTACACAACAATGATATTTATTATCATTAGTTTCAGTTTCAGCTCGGAATAAAATCATCGCTCTTATAGCACACTAAACACTGCGTTAACACAGATGGATGAACTTCGAAACTATTACACCCAATGCAATCAGAAATGTTCGAATTTAAACAAAAATATGCCAAGGCTTTTTTTTAAAATTATTTTTTCATCCTTTACAGTTTTTATCTGAGACAAACATTTAAGATCTGTAATCACGTTCGTTCTAGACCAGTGGTAACCAACTGGCGGCCCACGGGCCACGTCCGTTCCACGAAGCCTTTTTCTACGGCCCGCGAGCAGAAATATATTAGTTGTTATTTTTTGCGGACAATTTTCGTAAAAAATCTTTATGGGTTTAAAATACTTCTCTTTCGTTAAAAAAAACCCCTTTTTTCTTCGTTTCTGTGAAATTTAACTTAGCAACGGTGCAAAAAAAATTAATTTCTCAGGTAAAAATCTACTTCGCATTTTGATTTATAATTCAATACTTTTGCTTTGTACAACTTGATAAAAATCTGTCAGAAATATTTAATGTTCCTTTAAACATAACTATATAAAATTTTGATAAAGTTCGGCCCGCCATTTGACTGGTGTTTTTAATTACGGCCCCCGGCCTCATGTAAGTTGAAAACCCCTGTTCTAGACATTTTACAATTTCACACTGTCACTGGTATTTAATGCTGTACAATTGCAGTGCAGTATTTCCGATTTGAAAAGAAAAAAAATAACCCAGGGCCTTGCCCTATAAGATTTCATTTTATGGGATAACATCAAAAACACTATTTACGAACTATCGTCGTCGAAATCCCTGCAAGAGCTTAACCTATTTGTGAAGCAATAGTTTACAAGTGATAAAGTGAAACTACACAATGTTTGAAACAAACGGGATTACAGATTTCAGATGTTAGTCATGTAATAAAATTGTCAGAAATCGAACATTTGTAACTACAAAAGGAACTTATCGTACTTCTTTTTTTAAAATTTCTTTTACTATGTGTTGCAATATGTGTAATTATTTCAAAAATAAAAATATTTAAAATCCGATCAATCGTTTGTGCACAAACTGTGCGATTGTATTGATAAGGGACATTTAATTCTGCAGGATATTTTGTTAAAGTGCCCTTTTTTCTGATGTTTTTCAGTTTTTTTCGAGGTGTTTTGAATGTTTTTCAGTTTTTCTTTTTCACAAGTAAAATGATAAAGGACATTTGCTCATATTTGCAGTATTCAGTTTGGTCTCTCAACCTTCAGAGGTAATAAATCCCGATTTATTTTTCTCCAGAATTAAAACAAATTTTTGCTGATAAAATTAAACCAATACATTTTCAACATCTTTTTGTTTTGCTTGTATTGTTATCTATAATCAATAATCATTTACTTATCTATTATCATTAATTATTATCTGTTATAATTTTCTATAATAGTTATTAAATTACTCAGAGAAAAACTTTAAACACTTCTCTTATCAGTTTTTGTCAGTTAAAAGCAGTAAATGTAAATTTATTGCCTTAAGGAAATTTAAGTAAGATCCGAACAATGTTTCGTCTATTTCAGCAAATGCAAATTATTAGATTTTTGAAATAATTTTTGCTTTTAAAACAATTTTCGATAAAGGAAATATGGTTCTTGATAGACGAATCATGAATTTAATGAAATCGATATACCCATTTCAGATTTTAGTGGTTTTCCTCTCAGTGTATCCCAAAACGAACCTCTTAATGTATTCCAAATATGGATTTTTTTTTTTTAATTGAGAAAATTTTATCCATAGAAATTCTTTTCATTACATTAAGTTAATGAGTTCTCTTGTCTTCTGGGTAGAGTTTAAAATTTAATAGCTACGTAGTTAAACATTGAAAAATATTTTACGCAGTTTATTGACAGTTATAAAGTATCATATTACACGGCATTTAGGTCTGAACTGTGTAGTCTAGACTAGAATCCATATAAGAACTAGAGAACGTTAATAACAAGCCAGTAGTCAACGCTGATTTTACAGTTGAAATAAAACGCTTTTCTTGTTAAACGTTAGAGATTAATTTTTACTCAGTGTTGGAAAGACAAACCTTCCTGATCCAAAAAATTTCTAACCGGAACCCAGTCGAAATGATTTAATTTTAATTTATATATTGTTTGAGAATTAGAATGACAAGCCACATTTTCAAATTATCCAGATGATCATTTTTAGGGGGGAAATAAGATGTTATCTAGTAGAAGTTCTAGAAACATCAGATGTATCTATCTGGAAATAGGACCAACAAACAGTTAGGTAGCATTGTAGTAGTACTTTATAAGAATTAGGTCAGAGAGTTACAAGATTATGACTAACTATTTTTTAATAGGATGTTTAACACAGATAATTACACGAAAGGGATTCTCTTAAGTTCTTTTTCTTTAGTCTGTCAGTCAAAAAATGTAAAATGTAATTAGCTTATCTAGACCATTTTGTTGAGTTCGGTTCTATGGCGGGCTCGGTTTAAGTTAGGTGAAGTAGACTCATTCCAGTTGTAGATTCCTGAGAAAAACTCCTATTGGCGTCGGGTAAACAGTGAGTGTTTTTTGTTTATTTTTCTTAATTAGTAAGACAAGAAAATATAAAGGAATATATATTCAGTTTAAAAAAAGCTATTTAATAACTGATGTTATTAATACCCAAATTAATTAAAATAGTAAATGAAATAACTGCAAATTTAATAATTTGCAGCTTTTTGAGAATATTGAAATTTTATAACATAAAATATTTACCTGGCTTGTAGCACTCTCGAAAAGATAGAAAAACAAAATGATTAATGCGAATATCTCAAATCTTTGCATTTTTTCCAAACGATAAAAATGGTGAACTTCACAATTTTTCAAAAAATTAATCTGCTCTATTGCAGACGATATTCATTTAATTCTTCGTAAGCAAAAGGATAGATTTATATATGCCGAAAATATATGACGAAAAAAATTCGAGTGTGTTAAAAAGGAGAGGTTATTTCCGTAGTTCAACTGTATGTGGGCAATAATTGAGAGTCTCTGTCTTTCTCTGTAATTGGACGAGCAGATAGGAACACGTGACTTATATACTCCAGTTCCGGTCTGTTAGGTGTCCAACACCCGCGACCCTTTGTTTTTGAATTTAGAGGAACTTTATTAGGCAAGAAAAAAAAAAACTTTGGGTCAATAGTCTTCTCATCATAAAAAAAAGGAACAGGTTTCAAATCGATTTCGTGTGATTTGAAAACACACCCCCGCCCATGAAATCCTATTCTTATTCAGAAAAAATGTTCCTTTTTATTTGATGGGATATAATTTTAGTGTGATGAACTGTAAATGGTCTTATAATGGGTAATCTGATGGAAGCGGACTATTATTATTATTTTTTTTGAAGTTTTTGGTTATAACACTAATGCTTTTATTTTGTCTTTCGTTTTATAAAATAAGGTAAAATTAATTTCAGGTATGTCCATAGTTATTACTTCATATTCGGCTGAAAGAAATAACTCAAAATTTTTAAATTAAAAATGAACACTTACACTTTTAAAAAATTTTCCCAAATCAATGTTCTTTTCCTCTTGTTACGATGCATTATTAACATTTAATTATTTCAAAGTAATTATGACCAATGACACTGAATTGAATGACTGACACAAAATAATTATGACACTGCGTGTATATATTTTTAGTATGGGGGATCTGTTTTCACCGAATGAATATTTAATTTGACCAAATGCTAAAAATAATTCTTTGTATGAAATAATCATCAAATGCTCACTATAGCTAATCCATCTATAAATGTAGCTCATAATTGTTTCTGAGAAAAGAAACACCCATGTGTGATTAGAAGTTAAGTTTAATAGAATTATTTTGTCATCTTTGTGTAAGTACTTGTTAATCTTAAGTTGACCAGATTTATAAACCATTATTTGAGAACAAATTAGCGGAGCTTAATTGGAAAATTTTACGAATTGAGGACACCATATATTCATATTCTGGAAATATGAATGTATGCTACCATACGTTTATATTCTGGATTATGGAAAATATTAACTTATGTGTACAACAAAGATTTTTTTAAAAAAAAATTGTATCGTAAACTAGTATCGTGTGCAAAACCATATTCATCAAACTTGGATTTTATTCGTCAAGTCGTCATCTATGTCAGGGCTGTCCAACTGGCGGCCCGCGGGCAGCATGTGACCCGCCAACTTCTTTTTCAGTCTGATCGGCTTCAGTTCTCCCATTAAAATGTAAGCAAATTGTTTTATAATCCTTCTGTTCCATTGTTTAATAATTAATAATTCAACTATTAATTGTTATTGTATAAGAGGTAAGAGGGTATTGTTTAACTTTTTCAAACTGCGGCCTGCCAGGTGATCAGTGACCGGAATTCTGGCCCGTGGGCTCTTTGCAGTTGGACAGCCCTGATCTATGTGACTATTAAAAATGAAAGATTTAGAATGACAGTTTCTATTCTTCTATGAAATCTAATACAGTAAAATCTAAGTGCAGTAAATATCTCCAACGAATAATATAAACTGCATTAATACTTTAAAATAATAAAATACAAAAGAAGTTTAGAATAACAGTGTTTTTTATAGGTGTAAATAATTTTATTCTAGTCCTACTTAAAACAAGAAGAAAAAAAAACGTGTTGTGGATTTGAAGTGGAGATAGATGTTCACTGCGACATTTTAGGCCCCAGGTTTTTATTTTAGAGGTGACAATAATACAATTATTACCTTTTTCTTTTCTAATCCATTTTAAAAACATGATTGGTAAAAACTCTTTTAATTTTATTATCTTCTGTTAGTTTATGTCCTAAATTGATCAAGGTTTATCGCTTGTCAAGGTTTTGTTTTGACAAGTGATACATTCTCTCTGTAACGGTTGAAACTTGTGTTGTCATTAAGTACAAAAATCCAGTCGAAATTTGAGCATTCTAGTTCGTCAGAAAGTGGTCGAAATTCTGAATTTTCTCTCTGCAGCTGTCAGAAAACGATCGAAACTTGCTTTGTCTTCAGGCATAGAGCTTCAGTTGAAATTTCGAGTACTATAAATAATCGGAAAATGTTCGAAATGTCGATAGCAGTACTCCACTCAAATAGACGCGAATGCGGTTTAAATTAAATGAGTTTTCTTTCTTCCTTTTTTGAAGAAGAAAAAAAAGCATTTTTATCGTTTTTGTCTAGTATTAGTTTAAAAATATCAAAAATACCTGTAAAACATATATCATAGATATTTGTGTAATCAAATTGCAGGTTTCCAGTAAAATGACGCAAACATGAATGCTTTATTACGATTTTCTGGTGTTCTTTTCTTATTTTTCACAATGTATTTTATTTAATACAGCTAAAATTTATGCAGCTAAATAATTAATTTTATACAGATAAAACAGCAAAATTACAAAAAAAAATGTATTTTGGTTCAATTATATTTCGATCGTGTGAGTTTCAGTATTCAAAATTTACATGGAACAAAAATAATAAATAAATAAATAAAAATTTTGAAAAATGTGCTGTGATGATGTCATAGTGGATCGTATAATTCATTCAGTACTGGTCTATGAATAAGCTTACCAGTGACAGTAGCGTAAAAACTACGAAACTGGTAGTAAATTTCTAAAAGAACTCAACCAGTTTACACTTTGTTCTGCCTTTCCAATTTGATATTCTGTAAGCAGAAAACACCGACAGAAATTTTCAAACAGAATTTTTTTCTTAATAATTGGAAAAGTAAAGCGGTTGAGTTTTCGAATATAATTTTACAAACTTTATAACAGTTTTCTAGTTTTATCGGACACTGGCCATCTTACCTATGAAGAATGGTTCTAATAAAGCATCATAAGCTCATAAAAATTATTTAAATAATCTAATTATAAAAAATTGTTTTTAGCTATTGTTTTTCTTTTAAATTTAATAGTTGGCAACACATTTCATGCGTTCAGTTGACTATATGGACATATCAGAATTATTACAACTGATTCCACCAGAGAGCAATTTTTAGCAATAAGCAAACGTAAGCATTAGGTCTGTTTAAATTTTCATTAAATAATTAATCAGTATTCTACTAGAAATTTCGTAAATGCAACTGTAATAATTTTTTTTCCTCTTGGAATCTCACATTTTACAATGCATTCCAACTTATTTAGAACTATTCTAGATGGAACTATAATTCAGTCAAGCTTTTTTTTCTTCTATAGTAGCTTTCCAGATGATTTCACGACAAAAATTAATTTGCAAAAATATTATGGAGAAAAAACATCAACTGAGCATTAATGGGTTAATTACTTAAACATTTTTTTTAATCAATTCTTCCTCTTATAGTTTTCAAGTTCTGTGAAAACAAAATAAATTCCCAGAATGTGTATATAAAATCAACCTTGAACGCTTATGAACTTTTGACCGTAAAAACTTTTTATACGAAATGAACGAAATAAAATAAAACATTGTAGGCGGAATAACGGCGTGTGATAGGGGTTAAGAGAGGGACTTGATCTAACCATAGCATGCCATTTAATCTCCTACCTACCCATCAGGAAATAAATAAAAAAAATTTCGAGATCGTGTACGTAAGTCTTCTAAGTAACTATTTATTCGGAACTAAGTTAATCGAATGTTTGCAGAATTTAAGAAGGTCAAGCTCTACGAAATTTGGCAGACTCGTATAAGGGCTATTTTCAGAGCTAAAGCACATTAACCTAGTTTTAATCATGTTTTTTTTCTCTCCTTTTTTTTAAGTTTTTACGTAACCAATCTAGTCATACGTTATTTCCTTTTCCAGTTTCGATAAAATTATTGTTAGAAGGTTAATTACTGTTTTTTTTTTGGTAATTTTATATTTATACTTATTTTCAAGCTTCAATCTAATAAAGGATTGATGCATAGGACAAATGCTTTTGGAATTGAAAAAAAAAAAAAAGTAAATACTAAAGCATTAAATCAAGGGTTGCTTAACGTTCCTGACTTTAAATGTAAAATCGTACTAACTTAGTAGAACCCTTGTATGACCAAGAAACGGAATTTAGTTTTTATTACTAAGTTAAACGGTAATTTTGTATTTATTTATTTTAATTCTATCTCTGACTTGAACATTCCTTAAATTTACAAAGTAAGACATTATTTTCCTGTTCTAGTCCTGCAAAAAATTAAAATTTTTATATGCATTTTTTGTACGAAAGATAATTTTTTTTTCATTTGCCACAAAAGCCTTTTATTGAATTTACAGCACTTGTGATTAAACTATTTTAATGTGCTTTAGGCGGTCGTCTAAATATTATATAAGCTAGGTTTTTCCCCTTTTGGACCCCTCCCCCTTGTAGGCAAAAATAAGGAAATTACAACCCCCCTACCTTCCGTCGGCCGAAGACACCCCGTGTAGAATTGTGACTGATACACGTTAAATCTGTCGAGTTACCAAGTCCTCCATGTTCCCATAATAAATCATGCCTCTGGGGGTACTGATCTAGGAGTTTCCTTGTCTCCTGGATTAGTTCAAAGTTACAAGGCTGCGGAATTGAACATTAGTAGTCGAAAACCCAAAATTGGGTCAACTGTTCAACGACGATTTTACAGTAATAATCTAATTTTAAGAAAATCAGGAATAAATTCGAATAAAAAATAAAACGAAAAAAAAAGGTTAAAAATTATATTTAAAAAAAATTTTTTTTTAATAAAATTATTAATTTCTAATTTTTCTTAAAAAAATTTTAAAATTAGGAGATTTTAGTATCGTACGTAAGCGTTGCTCATACCTCTTCCCCCCTGTCAGCAAAAATGAGACAATTACAATATCTTTTAGTGCTTAAAGTAATATTTAAACGGTATGCATTTTTTCATTAGTTATGAAATTTTTTTTACCGTTTGCCACATTTGCGATTAAAATATCCTATTCAGATGCGTTAACTAAGTACCATACTTAAAGTTTAAATTTTGACCCATTAATATAACATGTTAATTTGTGGAAACCCGTTCATTATATTGAAAAAAGTAAAAGTAAAAGTGATTTATTTATTGATTTATTAATTTTTTTTTTAATGTCCGGACAGTACAATACAAACATTACCTAAGTGTAAACTCTCATGTTAATTAATAAAGAAGTATATAAACTTCTCTTATTACATTAAATACAGATGCTTCTCTAAAAATGTACGAAAAGTAGGCAGAATTTATCTTTGCATTTTCTATCAAAAGTATGTAACAAGTATTTTTGACAATATATAAATATCCGCCCCTAGTAAAAATGAGAGATAAACGCAAAAACACAAGAAAAGTGCAAAAATGCAAGTTTTAGCAATATATTCATATCGGTACGTTCGATCGAATGTGAGAAAAACTTAACAAAATGCAGTCTCTCTGTTTTGAGAGGGAAAAAACTCCATTGATGAAAATTAATTTGAAGGGTAAAATATGTAGCCATTTGTGGCCAAACTATTTTATATATACATACTGTATATTTTTAATGATCCCTATAACATGAACTGGATTCTGACGATTTGGCGATTACAGTTGGTGAGACTAGTCGACGATATGGGAAAACTCCCCTATTCTACATATACCATAAAAACATTGTTATACTAAACTATACAATGCAATCAAAAGCAATTTTCTTTTGGACAAAAGTCTGAATTAAACACTAAAAGTCAACAAATTGCTTGGCGCATTTTTCCGTTGTTGATACGCGTATTTCCACCTCTTCATAATCATCATAATGAGTTGTATCACCTGGTCCTTTACACTTCGGAATAAATGGAGCTTCCACTTTTTTCTGAAATATCATGGTCCAGTCAGTTGTAGAAAACCATTTGTGGTTCTTTATGTCATTGACTCCATTTTTCAAATTTCCATATCTTTTAGTGAGATCAACTTGTAACAAGTTTGTCATAAGATCCTTCAAATCAGAGGTAAAGTGAGAGGGAAATCCCACTTTTCCGGCCACAATTTTTTTATAAGTGTCCATTGGATCTATGGCGCAAAATGGAGAGTGTCCAGCAGTCATTTCGTACACAAGCACGCCAAAGGCCCACCAATCTGCAGCTTTATTATGACCTTTGAAGAGAATAATTTCTGGTGCAACGTACTCTGGTGTTCCACAAAAAGTCCATGTTCGTCCTTTTACTTGTTTTGCAAAACCAAAGTCAGTAATTTTTACATAGCCTTGCTGATCAATCAACAAATTTTCCGGTTTTAAATCTCTGTGTATCAGACCCAAATGGTGAAGGTACTCAAATATAAGAACTATCTGTGCAGCATAAAAACGTGAATCAGCTTCACTGAAATGACCGACTCGCCGAAGACGAGAAAACATTTCGCCACCAGGCACAAATTCTAATACCATATACAAATTCGTATTATCCTTAAAGCATAAATCTAGCTTTACAATAAAAGGAAAACTAACTGCGTGCAAAATATTTTTCTCGTCAAAAACGTGTTCAATTTGTTTCATTTTCACAATTTTTTCTTTATCAAGAATTTTAATTGCGAAGTAGTTTTCAGATGATTTGCGCTGAGCTAGTATAACATGACCAAAGGAGCCTATTCCCAGAGTTTTTATTCGGTCAAAATCACCTATACTTGTAATAGTATCAACACTTGGCTTGCTCAATTTTTCTTCAAAATCTTTCTTTGCTTTTACTAAAAACATTTCTATACTTTCCCCTGCATCTCCTTTTTTAGCTGTTTCAGTATTTGCCATTTTCGTACAAACAAATATATCCTCATGAATTAAAAATACTTAACTTTTATTAATATTTTTCCCCTAATTTCATTTACTTATAAAACTTAAGTACACACTTAATCAGTATTAAATCACAAAGTATGGAAATGCTAGAAGTCAATTCTGAACTAGATCAGAAACTTAGGTATTAAGTATGGTAACGGTTATAATCAAGTTTGGCCTCACCAAAGCTTTGAAATTCAAATATTTTACCATCTATCTCCAATCTCAAATTTATATCAAAATTTCTCTCAGAGATTTTTTAAATAGTACGAAAACTATAATAACTATAATAGTACGAAACTATAATGTCGAGAAAAATAAATAGTAATTTATTTTGCAAAATGTACTTCTGCCTTCATTAGCACTCAACGCCACTAAAGAAATAACATTTACGCGTTTCATAGAACTAACATAAGACAAATAACCAAACGATTATAATTAAGATAATAAAAGAAAATGATAAATCTAACTTGTAGTTAAGCTTGCCGTGGAGTGACGTTAAAAATGTTTGAGTTCTTGTTGCCATTTTGGAGCGCAAGGATGAAATAAATAAATAAATAAAAACCCGTTGCTTTTTTAAATGCTCTTAAACTGATGATGGCGATTCATATTTCTCAGCAACGCATTTTAAGATGTTAATAAGTTTTTACGATTTGTTAATTTTTACTTTTACAATTATTTTTATTTATATATTTATTTTTATTTATAGATATCATATTTTTAATAGAGATCAAAAACTATTCTTTCTTCAACTTGACTTAAGTTAGTAAAAATATTGAAGAGCATATCATTGTTTTCAGCATTTCCTAATTATTCCAAGTTATTTGTTTCATTGAAGAAGATCCTTTTAATTCATTTCTTATTCATGGATGCGAAAAAGAAAAAAAAAAACAATTGTGTTTCCGAAAAACTTTGTAAGTATGTTAAAAAATTCAACATTTTTTCACAGACTAATACTTTGGATGGATTGTCTTCTTTTTGAACCTTCACAAATTTCTATATTTTTACTCATTAAAGAAACAGTTGTTGGTGCTTCTATGCCACTTGTCCATGCCAGCAAGCCTACCTGGGAAACCAAGCAATTTTAAGACAGAGGGTGAGCTTCTTGTTTTTCAGTGGCTCCATTTAGGGTCAAGAATACTATTTCAGCCACACACACGTTACAGTCCGTTTTACAGGGCGGACCCATTTATTCATTCTCAGATCGTAATTTTTACCTGAACCAGAGAACGATCAATCTTCAATTCAGTACCACTAGAGATTGTTGACGTATGCCATATAGGCAGAGGGGGTGCTATTGTTCTTGCTTTCCAGTGGCACCATCTATGACCAAGAATTTGTCTTCTGCCATACCCATACGTCACACCCGTTTATAGGGCGGACCCATTCATTCATCCACAGATCGTAATTGTGTCCTGATTCAAAGAACGATCAATCTCCAATTCAGTACCCCCAGAGGTATTGATCTGTTATTTGAATATGGAGGACTTTGAGACTCGAAAGATTTAGCTTGAATCAGTCACCATTTACTACACGGGAAGTCTTCGGCGGGCAGGGATCGAACCCACGACTTCTTGAACATAGGCCCAGTGCCCTACCAGCCAGGCTTACCCAGCCACCACTAGAGGTATAGATTTGTTATAGGTACTAGGAGGACTTTGTGGTCCGTCCTACTCATATATAATTGAAAACTGCAGAAATTTTCATTCTAGTTTAATAGCTTTTTCATAAATACATCTGATATGTTACAAATTTAAACATTTTGATTTTCTTGTCTTCTATGACTATTTTGTCTCCGAAGAAAAAAAAACTTATGCAATTTTATTTTTATTTTTTTGCGGATTTAATATTGTCTTAAATCTTCAAGCTGCAACTGATCTGACGATTAACTGTGAGAAAATAAAATACTTATCCATTAAAGAAGGTCGTGAAAAAACTTAATATCGCAGAAACTATATTTCGTAGTTATATTAGTATATTTGGTATCTATTACCTAGTCACAGAATACCAGTAGTTTCCTTTATTTTATTTTTACCACAGTTAATTAATCAGCACATCGTCAATAACAGTATCGCGATTTGTACTGTCTCCTTGGTCTCCTTAAACCGATAATTACCGGAAATATTTATTTTTGTTTTGGTACTTCAAAGTGTTTAACAAATAATTCATTAAATTTGTTTCGAAGAAAAAAATTTCTTCACGTTCATTTTTATGTTTCGATTCTTTTTTGACATTTTGCATTTCTGTTAAATTAATAGATTTTTCTTTTTCATTTAGAACAATTGGTTTTCAGGAAAGAATTTTTAGCAATATTTTAGTTCTTTACCTGTTATTTAATACAAATGCAAGATATTTCGTAATTACCGCCCTTAATACATATTTTGAAAATCCTTATCAAGAATGAAGTCTAAAAAGCATACACAGTAAATGTAAACACTTAAGCAAGGAAGAAACAAAAACGTTCTCGAAATGTAATGAATCACTAGTAAGGAAGTTGGGTGTTCGGATAGTAGTTATCGACCCTGTCAACCTTCTTCTATGAAAAGGTACCCCACCGTAGAAATCGAGTTAACATGTGTTATATACTAGTCGATTGGAATTATATTTTTGTAGTGGTAGTTACACTACGGTACTACCCCAACAGAACTATATCTGTGATAGAATTCGATGAACGGATACAACTAGTTGATTCAATGCTGTTTGTGAGAAGTCCAGAGAGCTGTATTAGGATCACCGTACTTTTTTAGTGTTGATCGTGAGAGCTGTATTAAGTTCACTGCTGTTGTCGCCCCTGTGTTGCCTTTAGCAGTCGAGTGTATACGTTGTTTGTGATCGAGACTGAGAAGCAACAGCGTGAGGAGGACAATGTCGCAGTCACAAGTAGCAAGTCAACTGTTCAATGTGGACCATCCATCGAATCAGGCGTGTTCAAATTATAGTGGACGTTTTCTTCCAACGTTGGCGTGCTCACATCACGTCCGGGACACCAATGTTGGGATAGTAGTTAAGTTATAGTCCATGTCAGCCTTCATCTATGAAAAGGTACCTCACAATAGAATCGAGTTAACATGTTTTATATTTTAGTGAATTGGAATTATATTTTTGTAATGGTAGACACTACAGTGGGATTAAAAAATAATTATTTTGATTGTTTCATGAAGCTTCAAAGTGTTTAAATGGATCATTCAAATATTTTGTAAGCATTGAGGGGGGAGGGTTGTGAAATGAGCAATCCTTACATAAGGCGCTAAAATCTCCCTATTTTAAATTCTTTTTTAATTGCAAAAATAATAATTATTAAAATGCTACAAAAAAAAATTAGGAAATAATTACTACACTCATTACAATTCCAAATTTCTAATAAAAGTTAAATTAGGAAAAAAGAAAGTTGGGGAAAAAAATTTTAACAAGAAGTTTCAGAGGTCAAGAGTTTTGACCACAGGAAAACAAAAAAGAATTTTAAAGAATATTCTAATGTGTGCTCGTAAAATCTGTGGCACTGGAAGTCGTGTAGTCAGTCACTGAGCAACACCACGGATGCAGGTTTGAGGAGAAAATATACTGTATCTTCAGATCTATGTTCAAATTGTGAAAGTGGCCTCACAAATGATTGGTGCTGCCATCTATCAGGGGAATTCTGTACAATGTATTTTCACCCTAGTGGTGCTCCCGTGTCAAACGATAAGTGCTCTCTCCTGACGTAATTTGTAAGGTCAATGAACGGCGTGCTCATTTGTCCAAGTGTCGTTAGAAACAACAACAGGTTTGGATGGTGATGTTTTTAATACCATCTTCCGATAATGATTCATTTGATAGATTTCTATTGCGTTTCTTTTATTCTTAGCTTAAATATTATTATACAGCCCATAGTGTGTGTATGCTTGTTTTTTCACTCCTTTTATTCACCCATATTTATTTTTAGCTCATTTAAATAAAATTCGTTGATAATTTTAATTTTAACTTTTTTCAAAAAAATTAAGCAAAAGAGCCCCCTCAGAACTAAATTTACCACTATACTACCACGCAATTGAAAAAAATAAAATAATAATAAAAAACGTAAGCACTTAACGTTAGATTTCGAGAGAAAAAAGTTTTGCCAAAAATTTTCTTTCCCGCTGCTAATTAGTGGATTTCAAATTTGAGACGAAAAAAAGAAAAAATTTTATTATGGAATTTAATAGCCTGCAGGCTTAGAGGTTTGTGATTTCCAAAAATACATGCGATTAAGAATTATTATAAGAATTTGTCAAATACTTTATTTTCCATGGATTTTAACAAAAAACAATCCTAGAAAATAGACTGTCCAAATTTTTTCCTTCTAAAGGGTGTCTAAGGATAATTGGGACAAACTTTAACTTTAATGGAAGGTAGGGGATATCACTAGGATTCAGATTTGCATAGCAACTCCTAATCGGAAACGTCCTTCGTATTGCCGCGCAATTGTTCACAACATTGATTGGGCATGGTGGATTAGTTCAATGGCCACCACGCTCCCCTGATTTAAACAACATGGATTTCTTTCCTTGGGGTGCACTGATAAGTATTGTGTACGCAACACTCATGGATTCCGAAATTGATCTGGTTGTAAGAATCGCCTATGCTGTTGCTGATATCCTATAAAATCCAGGTGCATTTTAGCTAATCCGCCAATCCATATACCCACGATGTAACGCATGCATCACTATCAATGGCATCTTTGAATATCTTTTGTGACATTTTCATATATCATCTACCACAGCACATCTTTGACCAATAAATATTTCAAATTGTCTTGCATCTCTTTCTTTCTTGTATCTGTCATATTTCTTTCCAATGAAGTTTCCAATCATGGGTTTGTTATGCAGTTTTGAATCATTGTGATGTTCCCTATTTCATCTTATAAATTGTCCTAATTATAGTAGGACACCCTCTATTTTAAAACATTTCAATAATGTTTAAAAAAAGAAAAAAAAACCTTCAAAACACTTGGGAGTTTTAAAAAATGTATTTTATAATAAATCTAGAGTATATCTTAGATTTTTTTAAAAATTTTCTGATATATAGAAATTTTTTGTTGTTGTTGTCCAAGATCATTCTGCAGCTGTCAGATCATCATTTTAAATATT